GCCTCCCGGGTTCACGCCATTCTCCTGCCTCAGCCTCCTGAGTAGCTGGGACTACAGGCACCCGCCACCACGCCTGGCTAATTTTTTGTATTTTCAGTAGAGATGGGGTTTCACCGTGTTAGCCAGGATGGTCTCGAACTCCTAACCTCGTGATCCACCTGCCTCAGCCTCTCAGAGTGCTGGGATTACAGGTGTGAGCCACTGGGCCCAGTCTTACACATTTTTATTGGCTAAGAAATCAGTTATGCATTCAGAAATTTTAAAAATTCAATCCACACATCTCCCTCTACAAATAATAATAGAGAGACATACCAGCCCATGGTACCAGGTTCCTATATGGTACCTTTATAAATCATGTACTGATTTCTTAACTCAACGAGGTCCTTCAAGTTATGCTGTGATTTTCAGTATTATGAGAGCAAAGGGCATATTCAGTGAATTTCCATGGTTGATTCTGTGCAGGCTATTCTGCATATACAGCAAGCTGAATCTATTTAAAGGCCAAAATTCATTCACCAAAGTCACCTTCACAAATTTTAACAAATGTATAAGTTTGAGCAATGCTTACAGTACATTAGATTGATTAAAATTAAACCAAACACCTTGACATTGCACTTAATTTTGAACTAAATATGAATTTACAAGGCAACAGATGAGACTGAGCACACCCTCTCCATGCTGATTGCATCAGGTGTCTGAGACAAAGCAGCAAAGGGGGTCATTAGCTCCTAAAGGAGCAATTAGGTAAAAGTGCTGTAATTTACCACATGGATAATGTATGAGGGTTCTGGAAGGGTTTCAGTCTATGCAAAACAGGTCGAAATAATAACAGATGTTTCTTCAAGGGGCATTAACACAATTCAATAATCTATCTATATCTAAAGTTCCTTTCCTATGGGATAATATATTGGGCAATTTGGAGATGATATCTTGCAGCCAAAAATTATTTTTTAGTGCTAATGAAAATATATGATTACATAATTTAAACATTCTATGACCTGAATTTCTTATATCTTCCTTTTTTTGGAAAGCAGCCTTTTCAGTGCAATAGTGTCAACATGCTTCACTCCCTACACGGTGAAAGCACTCCTATAGCCTGATGAGCGTGGAGGATGCCTCGGCTACGAATAATCCCACCAAGCCAGAAGGACAGCCTTTCAGACCCTGGGAATTTCCCTCTGGAGGGACTTGAAAGAATCTGCAAGCTGCTAAGATAAAAAGAGATGACAGGTGGTAAGAAAACTGGTGGTGAAAACACACCACTCGTTTTAGTGTATTGGCTTTGAAGAAAAGATCATTAGAATGTGAAAAACAATAGGTAGGAATTATTCCCCCAGAATCTCATGTATGGAGCCCATCAAAGGCAGAAAAGAAGAAGCCTGGGGAGAGGGGGATATTGCTCATACTAAAGACAGGGCAAACCTGTGAGGGAACAGATGTGGGGGCAATAAGTCAGCACAAGAGGCACAACAGCCTTGGCGATGGGCTCCCCTTCCTTTGAAAGAATGTAAAAAGCGGGGAGTGGAAGAATAAGAAATGTGTATTTATTGAGCTGGACACTCTGCATGGTACCGTACATAGATTTCATCAACTGGTCATTACAAGCACCCTGAGTTGGATGGTAGTCCTCATTTTACAGAAGCCTTTAAACAAATCTATTTTATGCCTAAATAATTTATTAATATGCCATTCTGCTAATAAGTGAAAGATCCCGTCTTTTTTACCCCAAACCCATGATTTTTCCCCATTTTGCTATACTGTCTCCCAGACAAAAAGGCAGAGGAGTTGGTGGAGAGAGACTGTGGGGATAGAAAAAGAAATGGAGGGTGAGATTGGCAGAGGCTTACTTTCAT